AAAAATTGATCATTCTATAATACTTCAGTGTTGTTTATTTTTGAATTATTTAATGGCAAAACAACAAACCAAAATTTCTCTACTTTTAGATGTTTTCAAAATTTTCGATAAATTCATAAAAAAATTGTAGAAAATATTAAATATAAGTCCGAAATGTTATTTACTTTTGAACCATGTCGTGGCAAAAATGAAAATTTTTGGGTTTTCGATTTTTTCAAAATTTTTCGAATAATTGATCAAAAGCTTGTTAAGAATATTGATTCTTTCGAAATTGATCGTTTTATATTTAAATGTTATCCGTTTTTGAATTATTTGGTGTCAAAATTACAAAGAAAAGTTTTTTCATTTTTTTTTCAAAGGGTTATAAAAAGTGTTTAATATAATTAAATTTCATTTTTAAGAAATTGATTGCTGTAAATTTAACTGTTATTTATCTGTTTTTGAGTTATTTGGTGTCAAAATGGTACACCAAAATTTTTACGTTTGATATATTTTCAATTTTTTTCGTAAATTGATCTTTGAACTATTTTAAAAAGTCTACTATAAGTTTGACGTTTCAAAGTTTGGTCACTTTAGACTTCAATGTTGTTTGTTTTTGTATTATTTAATGTCAAAACAACAAACCAAAAATTGATCCAAAGATTGTGAAAAATATTTAATGTACGTCTGATTCTTCCGAAATTGAATGCTCAATATTTTTAAATTATTTCCTGTCAACAAACTAAAATTTTTTCGTTTCAGATTAATTTTTTTTTTTGCAAATGAATCAAAAGGTTTTAAAAATTGGTTAATATAATTTTATTAAGTTTCATTTTTCAAAAATCGATTGATCTGAAATCCTTTGCCTCTTTTTGAGTTATTTCGTGCTAAAACGCCAAACCAAAATTTTTACGTTTCAGATTCTTTCAATTTTATATCGCAAATGGATTAAAAGATTCTAAAAATATTTACCACAAGTTTGATTTTTCAAAAATTTATGGCTGTAAAATTAATTTTACATACATTTTATTGTTTTCTTTTAAGAATTTTTCGAAAAATTAATTAATCAATTAATTATTGCCTTCTATTTTTTTTCTTAATCTATACCTGTTTTCGACAACACGATATTTAGGTTAAGCCCCACCCACCCGCCCCATCTCAATCGTGATTAATCTTTTTATTCGTCGTGAAGCAGGGCGGAGCTTAAATCCAAAGTTCATATTTCTCTACAGGAAAATACCATGCGAAACAGTATCATGTGGTCGAAAGAAAACTACACATATTAAGAAAAACAAGTCAAAAATTAAGCCCCACCCACCCGCCCCGATCTCATACGTTTGAGGCATGATCGTATTGTAGAAAATAGACTACTTTGAGAAAAAAATAGGGAATGAATACTCTTATTCTCTCAAAAGAAATGTAATTAAACTCCGCCCCCCGACTCACAATGAATAAAAAAAAATCTTCACAATTAAGATAGGGTGGGTGGGTGGGGCTTATATTTTGTTTTTTTTTTTTTTTTCTTAATATAAGTTCTCCTTTTCATAACAAAACGTATTTAAAAGGGGTACATTTTTCTAGAGAAATATCGAGTTTGCAATTAAGCTCCGCCCCCCGCTGTGGTAACGAATGAAAAAATTCATCTCAACTGAGATCGGGCCGGGTATAGGTGGGGCTTAAAGTTTGGCTTTCTTTTTTATTTAATAATTATATGCAAAAAGAAGAAACATCTTTTCTTTTTACATAATACTTACCTCAACGGGAAAATAAATCAAAATTAATTATTAGAGTTTTCTTACAACAATACGATTATTTAAGAAGATGTTTCAAATGGTAATTTCTTGGCGAAAAAATATTTATTATATGTCTGATTTTTACGAAATTGATCGCTGTATATTTAAAAGTTGTCTGGTTTCGAATTATTTCGCGTCAAAATGACAAACCAAATTTTTTTTCGTTTCAGATTTTTTCAATCAAAAGATTATAAAAATGTTTAATTGTAAGATTGATTTTTGTTTGTTTTTGAGTTATTTCATAACAAAAAGGGAAATCAAAAGTTCGACGTTTTAGATTTTTTCAGAATTTTCGAAAATTTGATCAACAAATTTTAAAAATATTTAATTTATGTCTGATTCTTCCGAAATTGATGGCTCTATGTTTAAATGTTGGCTGTTTTTGAATTATTTCGTGCCTAAACGACAAACCAAAACTTTTTCGTTTTAGATTTTTTCAAAATTTTTCGAAAAATTGATCAAAAGATTGTAGGATATAGTTAATGTATGTGTGATCCTTCCGAAATTGATGGGTCTATATTTAAATTTAATCTTTTTTTGAATTATTTCGTGTTAAAACGACAAATCCAAATTTTTTCGTTTGAGATTTTTTTCAATATTTTTTGTCGCAAATTATTCAAAATGTTATAAAAAATCTTTAAAAAACTTTTTTTTTTCAAAAATTGGTCGCTGTAAATTTAAGTGTTGTCTCTTTTTGAGTTATTTCGTACCGAAGCGGCAAATCAAAATTTTTACGTTCAAGACTCTTCCAACTTTGGTTCGCCAAGTTGATCAAAAAATTATAAAAAATATTTAATCGTAAATTTGATTTTTCAAAAATTGGTGGCTGTAAATTTAATTGTTTGCTTTTGAGTTATTTCATAAGAAAAAGTTAAATCAAAAGTTCGACGTTTTAGATTTTTTCAGAATTTTCGAAAAATTGATCAACAAATTTTGAAAATATTTAAATTATGTCTGATTCTTGCGAAATTGATGGCTCTATATTTAAATGTTGGCTGTTTTTGAATTATTTCGTGCCTAAACGACAAACCAAAACTTTTTCGTTTTAGATTTTTTCAAAATTTTTCGAAAAATTGATCACAAGATTGTAGGATATAGTTAATGTATGTGTGATCCTTCCGAAATTGATGGGTCTATATTTAAATTTAATCTCTTTTTGAATTATTTCGTGTTAAAACGGCAAATCAAAATATTTACGTTTGAGATTTTTTTCAATATTTTTTGTCGCATATTATTCAAAATGTTATAAAAAATCTTTAAAAAACTTTTTTTTTTCAAAAATTGGTCGCTGTAAATTTAAGTGTTGTCTCTTTTTGAGTTATTTCGTACCGAAGCGGCAAATCAAAATTTTTACGTTCAAGACTCTTCCAACTTTGGTTCGCCAAGTTGATCAAAAAATTATAAAAAATATTTAATCGTAAATTTGATTTTTCAAAAATTGGTGGCTGTAAATTTAATTGTTTGCTTTTGAGTTATTTCATAAGAAAAAGTTAAATCAAAAGTTCGACGTTTTAGATTTTTTCAGAATTTTCGAAAAATTGATCAACACATTTTGAAAATATTTAAATTATGTCTGATTCTTCCGAAATTGATGGCTCTGTATTTAAATGTTGGCTGTTTTTGGATTATTTCGTGCCGAAACGACAAACCAAAACTTTTTCGTTATAGATTTTTTCAAAATTTTTCGAAAAATTGATCACAAGATTGTAGGATATAGTTAATGTATGTGTGATCCTTCCGAAATTGTTGGGTCTATATTTAAATTTAATCTCTTTTTGAATTATTTCGTGTTAAAACGGTAAATCAAAATATTTTCGTTCGAGATTTTTTTCAATATTTTTTGTCGCAAATTATTCAAAATGTGATAAAAAATCTTTAAAAAACTTTTTTTTTTTCAAAAATTGGTTGTTGTAAATTTAAGTGTTGTCTCTTTTTGAGTTATTTCGTACCAAAGAGGCAAATCAAAATTTTTACGTTTAAGACTCTTCCAACTTTGGTTCGCCAAGTTGATCAAAAAATTCTAAAAAATATTTAATCGTAAATTTGATTTTTCAAAAATTGATGGCTGTAAATTTAATTGTTTGTTTTTGTGTTATTTCATAAGAAAAAGAGAAATCAAAACTTCGACGTTTTAGATTTTTTCAGAATTTTCGAAAAATGGATCGACAGACTTTAGAAATATTTAACTTATGTCTGATTCTTCCAAAATTGATGGCTCTATAATTAAATGTTGGCTGTTTTTAAATTATTTCGTGCCGAAACGACAAACCAAAACTTTTTCGTTTTAGATTTTTTTCAAAATTTTTCGAAAAATTGATCAAGATTGTAAGATATAGTTAATGTATGTGTGATCTTTCCGAAATTGATGGTCTATATTTAAATCTAATCTCTTTTTGAATTATTTCGTGTTAAAAAACGACAAATCAAAATTTTTTCGTCTGAAATTTGTTTCAATATTTTTTGTCCAAATTATTCAAAATGTTGTAAAAAATGTTTAATTAACTTTTTTTTTCAAAAATTGGTCGCTGTAAATTTAAGTGTTGTCACTTTTACGTTTCTCTTCCAACTTTTGTTTCGCCAAATTGATCAAAAGATTGTAAAAAATATTTAATTGTTAATTTAATTTTTCAAAAATTGATGGCTGTAAATTTAATTGTTTGTTTTTGAGTTATTTCATAAGAAAAAGGAAAATCAAAAGTTGACGTTTTAGATTTTTTTCAAAATTTTCGAAATATTGATCAAAAGATTGTAAAAAATAATTAATTTATTTTTGATTCTTCCGAAATTGATCGCTCTATATTTAATTGTTAGCTGTTTTGAATTATTTCGTGTTAAAACGACAAACCAAAATTTTTTCGTTTCAGATTTTTTCATTTTTTTCGCAAATTAATCAAAATGTTAAAAAAATGCTCAATATAATTAAGTTTCATTTTTCAAAAATTGATGGCCGTAAATTTAATTGCTGTCTGTTTTTGAGTTATTTTGTGCCAAAATGGCGAACCAAAATTTTTACCTTTGATATATTTTCAATTTTTTTCAGAAATTGTAAAAATTAAATGTCGAATTATTTCGAAAACTTGAGCAACGCAATATCAATTGGAAACATAAACACGTCACTGATCGATGTACTGTCTAAACCAACCCACTAGACCTTTGATCGCGATCTTTTATAACCCTATAACGAACTAATCCACTTTGAAACCGTTTTATTAATTCAAAACCCTCCAGGTTACGGTCGAGTCAAACCCGACATAGTAACCTACGGCTCAGCCGTCCGCGGCTCCAACATCAAAGGCGGCTGTCGCGTCCTCTCCGGGACCAGCGTGGCATCCCCCGTGGTAGCCGGCGCCGTCACACTCCTAGCAAGCGGGGTATTGCACCGAGGCGACGTCATCAACCCCGCCAGCATTAAACAAGCCCTTATGGCCTCCGCTCGAAGGCTTCCAGGCGTCAACATGTTCGAACAAGGCCACGGGAAACTGAACCTGATGAAGGCCTACCAGATTTTGAGCAGCTACAAGCCACAGGTGAGAAACCGCGGAATTATTTATAAATAGAAGTGACGTAACCACACCGTCGAATCAATACGTGTTTTAGGCCAGCCTCAGCCCTAGCTATATCGACCTTAGCGAGTGCCCCTACATGTGGCCCTACTGCACTCAGCCCTTGTACTACGGCTCGTTACCGGTAATCGTAAACGTAACGATCCTGAACGGCTTGGGAGTGTCCGGTGTAATCGTCAACAAGCCACAGTGGCACCCGTACTCGCCCCAGCACGGCCAAATGCTCGACATTGCCATTTCTTACTCGGAGTTGTTGTGGCCGTGGTCGGGGTGGATGGCGGTGAGTTTGTCGGTGGCGGCAGAGGGCGCCACCTACGAAGGGCTAGCGCATGGGCATATTTCGGTGACGGTGGAGTCGCCGCCGGGGCCAGGGGAGACCGAGGCGAGGCAGAGCACAGTAACACTTCCGATAAGGTAGTGGAAGGAGGAGGTTCGGGGTGTCACTCTGTGATAAACGTGCTTTTTTTAGAGCGAAAATCATCCCCACGCCACCTAAGCACAAACGCGTCTTGTGGGATCAATATCACAACTTGCGTTATCCCCCAGGATATTTCCCGAGGGATAACTTAAAAGTGAAGAACGACCCTCTAGACTGGAACGGGGATCATATTCACACGAATTTTAAAGATATGTACCAGAATCTGCGAAACGCCGGCTACTACGTCGAAGTTCTGGGTAAGTTTTTCCCTCAGCGTAGCGACACATATTTATATCACTAAAACACCTTGTCCAGGATCCCCGTTCACCTGCTTCGACGCCTCCCAATACGGGACTCTTCTTATTGTCGACCCCGAAGAAGAGTACTTCCCCGAAGAAATATCGAAACTAAAGCGGGACGTCGACGCGGGTTTGTCGGTCATAGTTTTCGCCGACTGGTATAACGAAACCGTCATGAAGAAGGTGAAGTTCTATGATGAGAATACGCGGCAGTGGTGGATGCCCGACACCGGCGGGTCGAACATTCCGGCTCTGAACGACCTGCTGGCGTCGTGGGGGATCGAGTTCGGGGATAGAGTGTTCGAGGGGAATTTTAAGCTGAACGACCACGATATGTACTACGCTTCCGGGACGAGTATACGGAAGTTCCCGAAGGAGGGGCTGGTGATTTCGGCGAATTTGCACGACCAAGGGGCGCAGGTAGGTGTCAATTTGCGAAAATTCGTTGTAGTTGGTAAAATTGCGACCATCACCGCGTCATATCTACGAGATTTACGATCCTGATTTTTTTCAGAATTTTTAGACGATTTTTGTAAAAGTGAAATTTTTCAAATTTCGGCCAATTTTTGACATTTTCGAAACTTAACTAAATACATTTTCTTGTAGATTTCGAGCTCTAGAACTTTCGAAAATGTTGCTCCGTGACCATCAACACGCTACATTTTTGGAATCAGCTTGTCGAGATCTACGTCCCTGAATTTTTTCGCAATTTTTTGACGACTTTTTTTTAAGTGAAATTTTTCCAAGGGTAGCCCCTTCTCCAAATTTCGGCAAATTTTTGACATTTTCGAAACTTAACGAAATACATTTTCTTGTAGATTTCGAACTCGAGAATTCACTTCCGGCCTCGTTTCTTTCGAAATGGATCGCTCTATATTTAAATGTTATTTGTTTTTTATTATTATATTATTTTATTTTATTTTATTTCATGTCAAATCGACAAACCAAAATTTTTATAATTCAGATTCTTTTATTTTATTTTTTTTTTTCGCAAATTGATCAAAAGATTGTAAAAAATGTTTAATACAAGTTTGATTTTTAAAAAATGGGTGGCTGTAAATTGAATTGTTTCCTTTTTTTAGCCATTTCGTGCTAAAATGGAAAACCAACATTTTTACGGTTCAAATATTTTTTTTGTAAATTGATCTTTAAAATATTGTGAAATGGTCTGCTGTAAGTTTGATTTTTCCGAAATTGATTACTCAATAATCAAATGTTCCCTGTTTTTAAATCATTTCAAGTCAAAGCGGCAAATAAAAATTTTTACGTTTTAGATTTTTTTCAAAATTTTTCGAAAAATGTATCAAGAGATTGTAAAAAAATATTTAATGTACGTCTGATTCTTTCGAAATTGTTCGCTCTATATTTAAACGTAATATTTTTGAATTATTTCATGCCAAAATTACAAACTAAATTTCAAATTTTTTCGCAAATATATTGATCAAAAGATTATAAAAAATATTTAATGTAATTAAGTTACATTTTTCAGAAATTGATTGCTGTAAATTCTGTTTGCGAGTTATTTTGTGCCAAAATGGCAAACCCAAATTTTTACCATTCAGATTTTTTCAAATTTGTTTCGTCAACTGATCTAAAAAAGATTGTAAAAAGGTTTATTAGAAGTTTGACTTTTCTGAAATCGATCACTTTATACTTTAATGTTGTCAGTTTTTGAATTATTGTGACGAAACAACAATGCAAATTTTTTACGTTTTAGATTTTTTTCAAAATTTGTAAAAAATATTTAGTGTACGTCTAATTCTTTCGAAATTGATAATATTTAAATATTATCTGTTTTTGAATCATATCGTGTCAAGGCAGCAAATAAAAATTTTTACGTTTTAGATTTTTTTCAAGTTTTTTCGAATAAGTTTCCTCTAAGCTTGATTTTTCAAAATAATATTGATAGCTGTAAATTTAATTGTTGTCGGTTTGTGAGTTATTTCGTGCCAAAATGGCAAACAAAAAGTTTTACCATTCAGATTTTTCCAACTTTTTTTGTAAGCTGATCTTTAAAAGATTATAAAAAGGCGTTCTACAAGTTTGATTTTTCTGAAATTGATCACTTTATACTTCAATATTGTCGGTTTTTGAATTATATAGTGACGAAACGATAATGCAAATTTTTTACGTTTTAGATTTATTAATTGAAATTTTTCGAAAAATTGATCAAAATTTGTAAAAAATATTAAATGTACGTCCAATTTTTCCGAAATTGATCGCTCTATCTTCAAATGTTATCTGTTTTTGAATCAATTCGTGCAAAAACGGCAAATCAAAATTTTTGGAAAAATGTTTATTTTGAGCTTGATTTTTGATTGCTGTAAATTTAATTGTTGTCTGTTTGTGAATTATTTATCTTCAAAAATTCGCATTTCCTAGAGGAGTCGTTTCTTTGATAACTGCAACCGTTTTTCAGGAATCGACCGTTGAAATATCGCGATTTTTAGAAATCTTCAAAAATTCGCATTTCCTACCGATTCTTTCGAACATGTTGCTCCGTGACCATCAACACGCTATATTTTTGGAATCAGTTTGTCGAGATCTACGTCCCTGAATTTTTTCCCAATTTTTTGACGACTTTTTTTAAAAGTGAAATTTTTCCAACGGTCCCCCCTTCTTCAAATTTCGGCAAATTTTTGACATTTTCGAAACTTAACTAAATACATTTTCTTGTAGATTTCGAACTCGAGAATTCACTTCCGGACTCGTTTCTTTGATAAGTGCAACCGTTTTTCCGGAATCGACTGTTGAAATATTGCGATTTTTAGAACTCTTCAAAAATTCGCATTTCCTACCGATTCTTTCGAAAATGTCGCTCCGAGACCATCAACACGCTATATTTTTGGAATCAGCTTGTCGAGATCTACGTCCCTGAATTTTTTCGCAATTTTTTGACGACTTTTTTTAAAAGTGAAATTTTTCCAACGGTCCCCCCTTCTTCAAATTTCGGCAAATTTTTGACATTATCGAAACTTAACTAAATACATTTTCTTGTAGATTTTGAACTCGAGAATTCACTTCCGGACTCGTTTCTTTGATAACTGCAACCGTTTTTCCGGAATCGACCGTTGAAATATCGCGATTTTTAGAAATCTTCAAAAATTCGCATTTCCTACCGATTCTTTCGAAAATGTTGCTCCGTGACCATCAACACGCTATATTTTTGGAATCAGCTTGTCGAGATCTACGTCCCTGAATTTTTTCGCAATTTTTTGACTACTTTTTTTTAAAAGTGAAATTTTTCCAACGGTCCCCCCTTCTTCAAATTTCGGCCAATTTTTGACATTTTCGAAACTTTACTAAACACATTTTCTTGTAGATTTTGAAGTCGAGAATTCACTTCCGTGCTCGTTTCTTTGATAGCTGCAACCGTTTTTCCGGAATCGACCGTTGAAATATCGCGATTTTTAGAAATCTTCAAAAATTCGCATTTCCTACCGATTCTTTCGAAAATGTTGCTCCGTGACCATCAACACGCTATATTTTTGGAATCAACTTGTCGAGATCTACGTCCCTGAATTTTTTCGCAATTTTTTGACGCCTTTTTTTTAAAGTGTAATTTTTCCCCTTCTTCAAATTTCGGCAAATTTTTGACATTTTCGAAACTTAACTAAATACACTTTCCTTGTGGATTTTGAACTCGAGAATTCACTTCCGGCCTCGTTTCTTTGTTAACTGCAACCGTTTTTTCGGAATCGACCGTTGAAATATCGCGATTTTTAGAAATATTCAAAAATTCGCATTTCCTACCGATTCTTTCGAAAATGTTGCTCCGTGACCATCAACACGCTATATTTTTGGAATCAGCTTGTCGAGATCTACGTCCCTGAATTTTTTCGCAATTTTTTGACGACTTTTTTTAAAGTGAAATTTTTCCAACGGTCCCCCCTTCTTCAAATTTCGGCCAATTTTTGACATTTTCGAAACTTAACTAAACACATTTTCTTGTAGATTTCGAGCTCGAGAATTCACTTCCGGAGTCGTTTCTTTGATAACTGCAACCGTTTTTCCGGAATCGACCGTCGAAATATCGCGATTTTTAGAAATCTTCAAAAATTCGCATTTCCTACCGATTCTTTCGAAAATGTTGCTCAGTGACCATCAACACGCTATATTTTTGGAATCAGCTTGTCGAGATCTACGTCCCTGAATTTTTTCGCAATTTTTTGACGACTTTTTTTTTAAAATGAAATTTTTTCAACGGTCTTCAAATTTCGGCAAATTTTTGACATTTTCGAAACTTAACTAAATACATTTTCTTGTAGATTTCGAACTCGAGAATTCACTTCCGGACTCGTTTCTTTGATAGCTGCAACCGTTTTTCCGGAATCGACCGTCGAAATATCGCGATTTTTAGAAATCTTCAAAAATTCACATTTGCTACCGATTCTTTCGAAAATGTTGCTCAGTGACCATCAACACGCTATATTTTTGGAATCAGCTTGTCGAGATCTACGTCCCTGAATTTTTTCCCAATTTTTTGACGACTTTTTTTTAAAGTGAAATTTTTCCAACGGTCCCCCCTTCTTCAAATTTCGGCAAATTTTTGACATTTTCGAAACTTAACTAAATAGATTTTCTTGTAGATTTTGAACTCGAGAATTCACTTCCGGCCTCGTTTCTTTGATAACTGCAACCGTTTTTCCGGAATCGACCGTTGAAATATCGCGATTTTAGAAATTTTGAAAAATTCGCATTTCCTACCGATTCTTTCGAAAATGTTGCTCCGTGACCATCAGCACGCTATATTTTTGGAATCAGCTTGTCGAGATCTACGTCCCTGAATTTTTTCGCAATTTTTTGACGACTTTTTTTTAAAGTGAAATTTTTCCAAGGGTACCCTCTTCTTCAAATTTCGGTCAATTTTTGACATTTTCGAAATTCAACTAAATACATTTTCTTGTAGATTTCGAGCTCTAGAACTCAGTTCCGGCCTCGTTTCTTTGATAACTGCAACCCTTTTTCCGGAATCGACCCTTGAAATATCACGATTTTTAGTAAATCTTCAAAAATTCGCATTTCCTACCGATTCTTTCGAAAATGTTGCTCCGTGACCATCAACACGCTATATTTTTGGAATCAGCTTGTCGAGATCTACGTCCCTGAATTTGTTCCCAATTTTTTGACAATTTTTTTTTAAAGTGAAATTTTTCCAATGGTACAACCATTGTTTAAGTATATTATAGTTGGACAACCTATACGGACAATCACTTTCCCATGTAGAAAAGAATGAATATATATTTTACATCTCACTCGCTTCACTATGAAGTGGCGGTACCTTACGAAAGGGGGTAAAAATAGTCCGTAAGCACGTGATGTCGATAAGGTAGTAAACGGACGTATTAATCAGTACGTTGTACGGGGAGCAGTCACAAAATAAGCAAACGTACGTGTTGAAGACTTTACATATATGTTAA